TATTAATATCCAGTTAATATAAAATAATTTACATTTATTTATCCAGCCTTTACATTCCATGTTACTACATAAAGTTAAGGATTATCAACTGAAAATGCTCTAACTTTAGTCAAGATTTTTCTCATTTAGGTCAAGCTTAATTCTGTTAAATGAAATAATGATTTATATTGGTATCCACTAGAGTTTGTGCAAGCTATAAGAAAATAGGAAAGTGAGAAGTATAGAAATACAAGGAATAATTAAATTAAGAATACTAGCTTTCATTTTAATTAAAAAGTTTTGATTCCTTTAAACTTCTTTTTGATAGTTTGGGGCCTGTTTGTGCAAAAGCAGCTCAACAGAAATAAGCTATGCCATCATTATTTCAGCAACAGAATTTATTAGATAGAGCCATGATTTAAATCCATATAATTGCCCTAGCTCAGTGGTTCTCAACCTGTGGGTCGTGACCCCTTTGGGGGTCGAACGACCCTTTCACAGGGGTTGCCTAAGACCATTGGAAAACACATATATAATTACATATTGTTTTTGTGATTAATCACTATGCTTTAATTATGTTCAATTTGTAACAATGAAATTGGGGGTCACCGCAACATGAGGTACTGTACTAAAGGGTCGCGGCATTAGGAAGGTTGAGAACCACTGCCCTAGCTGGTTTGGCTCAGTGGCTAGAGCAGGGGTCCTCAAACTTTTTAAACAGGGGGCCAGTTCACTGTCCCTCAGACAGTTGGAGGGCCGGACTATAGTTTAAAAAAAAACTATGAACAAATTCCTATGCACACTGCACATATCTTATTTTGAAGTAAAAAAACAAAACGGGAACAAATACAATATTTGTATTTGCACGCGGCCTGCGGGCCGTAGTTTGAGGACCCCTGGGCTAGAGTGTCGGCCTGCAGACTGAAGGGTCCCAGGTTCGAATCAGGTTAGGGGTACGTGGCAGTTCCGGATGTGTAGGAGGCAGCCAGTCAATGATTCTCTCTCATCATTGATGTTTCTATCTTCTCTCTCCCCTGATTCTCTATCATCATTGATATATCTATCTCTCCCCTCTCCCAAATCAATAAAATATATATTTTTAAAAAAAAACACCCAAGAAAACAAGGGCAAGAATGGTCAACATTTTAAATAAATAAATAAATAAATAAATAAATAAATCCATATAATTAACTGGCCATGTCTCATCTCATTCATGACTTTAATAAAGAGCATATCCCAAATTAAATTATTCTCTGGATCATTATTTTTTAAAATGATATATATTCTAAAATTGGCCATGCCAAAACTTCAGGATTAAAGACAAATCCTAAAAAAGTATTTTCTTACTTACAGAAGTTGGTTCAAATTTTCAAGTTGAAAGTAAAATTCTTTTTAATGTCCTCCTCCAAATCATAACTACCAGAAACAATCTATAGCTTTACTAATATACACTGAGTGGTATTGGTTGGAAGATAGTTTCTAAGTAAAAAGTTTTTTTTCTATTATTGATGCCCATACTTTTTAAAAAGTGGCATAATAAAATCAGGTTAAAAATGTTTGTCTCTCAGGATAATTAGAAGTTAGATAATTCTAAAAATAAAAGAATTCAGGCCCTAAGGCAAACAAACAAACAGAAAAATTTGTTTAATCTACATAATCTAAATCAATAGAAAATATGGCAGGGGACAAGGATGGGAGTCTACATTAGTCATTTCATAGGTGAGAGTCTAAATTTTCTTAATTTCTAGTTCTCCAGAAACCTGAGTTCTCTTATCAAAAAAACAAACACACAAAATATAAACCTTTTCTCAAAAATTTTCAGCAAACATTTTGTAATAAAGAGAAATGTGAATGCATACACCCAGTGATATAGTCACTTACCTTTATGTGGCTTTTACAAGCCTAAACTTTCTTTGAAATTTCATATCTTTAAAAAATTAATATAAAGTTGGATTTCTATTCTAAAATCTATATGTTTGCTTCAATAAAAACATAACACAACTACTTATTATTGGCAAGAGGAATAATTTTTTACCTTGTTAGCAGTCAAAATGATTTTATAGTGAGCTCAGTTTTGAAAAATTAGACTAAAACAAAGCAAATCAACAACCCATATTGTATTCGCTTTCAGGCAGTGTCTTTTTTAAATGATATTTCTAGAATTCAAACTTTTATTAAAAAGCTGACTACAAACAGCAGTGATTTCACTGTTTTATAGGACACATACTGGTAATTAATCCCTAAGGATAGATTCTCCAGTAATTAATCCCTAAAGAAAGATTCCTAGAATGCTGCAAAAGAAGTAATACAGTGCAATATTTTCAGACTATTTTTAATAAATGTTTTGTTAAATATTCTAGCTGGAAGGCTGAATAGAATATTGAAATGGTTTTGATCCTCTGGTTTATATCTTTTACAATCTCAGTAAAATGCTTGTAGAAGGATTTCTTCAAGATAGAAAAATTATTAGTGATAACATTTCTTGTTTTGCAACTGACATTTTATTTTTCAGTATATGTAAATAATTAATAATTTCAGCCAACTCATAATCCTTACAGTTCTTTACATCTGATTATCAAAATTTCATTAATATTGCAATGATCCTATATGTAACAGAAACATTTGCAGTTTAACCTCTCAGTTACTGATAGAGAATGTTTAGCCTCAGAGAAATGTATGTATAAAATTAGCTAACATGTGAGGCTCTTACAGTTATCATGAAGACCAAATTAATTTATTTTATTCAAATGCTAATCTTTTGTGATTTCTCTTATTCTGTTCCATCATAGTTGATTATTAAGGGTTGACTAGAGTAAATGAGAGCATTGCATTTCAAAATCTATTCATTTAACTTTTCTCTACTTCTCAAATTTTTGTTTATGAGACAAATCTTTTTCAGATTCTCTTTGAAAATTTTTAGTATTTGGAATTATTACCTGTTTTAGGAGCCACAAAAATATTACATGACAACTCTGACTTTGATAACCACATTGGTTTTCTAAAGTCTTCCTCTTATGATAGTTTCAATTTACAAAATCCAATTTATATGCAGAAAATTGATCTCAAGCATTGACAAATGAGCTGTCTACTCCAAAAATCTATCTTTAAATTAGTATTATAGTCTTTTTTTTCATGTTTAGTGTTCAATGGTGACTATCTTTTCTCTCTTATAATTTATATAATAACAAAATTTATTTAAGATGGAGAGATAAAGAGATATATACATACATATAATCTAATAAGCATCAATTTTTGTCCTACCCATTTATTTCCAAGCCTATTAAGGAAATACAACCTTAAACTATAAATAGGAACTGTGGATGTTGTTCCTTGATTTGTCATTAATATTCTGTGTAACCTTGAATAAGATACCTTATGTTGCTAGACTTGATGTAATTTTAAGCTTTCTGGAAATTAAAAAATATATATATGTAGAAAATGGTATTCACTTGTTACTGAAAATTTGCTGAAAATCTTCACAGTTTTTGAAAGTTTTCAGAAAGCAGCATGAGGCACTAGACTATACTTTTATTGGAAACTGCAATAGTTTATCTTTGTAATCAAGATATAGTGAGTCTCCCTTTAAAAAGGGAAACAACTTTTGATATGAAAATGTTCTCTGAGGTCAAAGAAAATAGCACAAGAGAATTACTAGGAACGCATTGTCTACACAGAGGCCCTGTGTTATAGTGGGTAGTCATTCTACTTAGTTTTCATTGTTTCTAAATTTGAGAATTCTGTTTGACTAAGCATGAGAATTGGTGATTATTATTTGGGCATAAATTTAGTTAATGCTGAAGAATTAGTAAAAACTATTTATATTGACTAAAACCAGAAGTTGACATTAAAATTCTTATGTGCCAAGATGCTTTTTTTTTTTTTTCAAAATTAAAATTCAATTCTTAGTGTTTTTCCTAAGTAATCTCCATATACTATCTGAGATGTCCTAAAAAGGATAAAACAATCTGTAGTGTGCCAAATATAATTTTGTAGTGTGGTCAGGTTTCTTTTTTTCAGGGGATTTTAACACTCAGAACTTGACATCATGTTGATGCTTCTCTGCTGTCTCCTAATACAAGCAGAAGCATTCCAGCTAACTTGACCTGTGCAGTCTGAAGGGAGGCTATCATTCTACATATGTAGGAATCTACTTGATCGGAAGCTTCTTTCCCCTTCTCCCTCCCTTTTTTCATTTTTTTTTCTTTTTGTCTTCCTCTTTAAACAAAATATTTGTTGTTACAGCTCTACTAAAAAGCAAATGAATTTCTAGTTTATCCCTCATCTGATAAAACATTTTGTGTTAAGAACCTTCTTTTTCTCATTTATATAATGATATAAAACAAGTTTTTAAAATGGCAACTTTATTTTCCCCTATCTTACCTAGGAGGAAAATTCAACTGAAATACAGAAAGCTTTGAGGGAGTGACTATATCTGACATTGGTCTGGCATTAAAATTTTCTGGTTGGGCAGCACAATTGTTTAATTGGGAGTCTCAGTGACAGCTGAACAACCTCAATGCTTGGGTCAGCAAGCGGAGGATCTTCACTCTGTCACCTATTAAGAATGATGCTTGTCAGGACTGATCTTTCCACTTGGGGAACATTTATGTTTCTAATCATATCATTAATGTTTTCTGATATTACAATGGAATAGATACTAAAACACTGAAAGAAACAAAGTTCTCTGCATAGGTATATTTGTAATTCTTTGTTTTTCATAAACCAAATGCAAATGTAACACTACTCCAGATACTGCTTCATCAGAAATCCCCAAGATAACTGAAAGTAAGTGCACATTTCTTCATCAGGAATAGTGCCATAACAATGATTGCATTCTACTGACCAGCCTATTTGCAGAGCATGTCATATAGCCTCTGGGTTAGTTAACTCCTTGGCCTCCTAAGAGGTACCTCAAAGAGTCAATTGATGTTTTTGCATGTATTATTTACTAATGCGTAGAAAAATTTTTAAGTTCACTTTTTCTTTATTCTGTCTTTTTTACCCATCTTCCCTCATTGTAGCAAATTAGACGGCCGGATGAAAGCAAAGGAGTTGCTAGTAGAGTTGGATCCCTCAAAGTAAATATGTTTCTAACATTTTTTGGCAAGATTTTGTCTATAGCCTACACTTCTTCCTTTTTGGCGGGTGGTGGGAGGAAGGGAGCTTTTTCCATTTTTCACCATCCCATTTTTTTTATTTTAATATTTTTATTGGCTGTTGGGTCATATTTTTTGTTTGTTTCAGCTACACATAGAGCAACCAGCTGAAGGCAAGCTGACAAATAACTAGCTTTGAATGGCACTACAGACAAGAAAAAGGGCAACTGCCTCACTACAGGTGCCATAATTTGGGGTTCTAGAGTAAACCGTTCCTCTGACTGATGTCACTATGTGTTAAGTTCCTGTTACACAGAGAACTAATATTTATTTTCAGAATATTATCTTCCCTTTTTATGTTTTTTATAAAAAATAATTAAGTATTATTTTGGTGTTATTACCATTTATAGTTTATTCCAGAAAAATAATTATGAATTAATAACATATTTTATACATATATAAAAATCTTAAGAATTAGAAATGTTATATGATGCTGGTATAATGGGCTCACATATAGCTAACAGTATTTAAGCACTCAATCCCCTTTATTTTATTTTTTAAATTAAAAAATTGATATAACAATCAGCAGAAACAATATGCATCTAATGTTTGCCCATTTTTGTATGTGATTTGCTAATTTAAAACTTAAATATTTCTGATCTGATGGTCCCATTTACTAGCTGTTAAATATCTTGGGTACTTGATACTCTAACATTTAGTCACAATGAATAGGTAAACAAGTTATCACTCCTAAGAAACACAGACATAGTTAAAAGTTGCATTGATAATTTTTAATGCTGCCCCCATAAATGTAAGATAAAATTTGAATTTTTAAAATACACAGAGGAATCCCCCCCCCTCAAAATTAACAGCTTCTTATATCTCAATCCCATTTGTTCTTGCAACAGTAGTAACTGTTAAACTAATCAAAATGACAGATACTTCATTACACTGGGATGTTTCCAAAATTCAATAACTATGCAGCGGTTGCCAACCGGTGGTTGGCGGACCAATGGTGGTCCGTGAGGTCCGAAAGGTTGGTGACCGCTGGTTTAGATTCTAGAGGCCTAATATTAAGTTATTTCAAAATTTTACACACCTTCGATTTATTTCCATTTAATAATTTATTAAGCACTAATTTCTGCACTATTTCCTCTCCTTGCCTCTTCTGCCTTCTTAATTTTACTTTTTTTGTATTTGTTTATTTATTTGTGTGTGTGCCACTCGTGTGATTGCACATGGATGAAGGTGTATCTGTACGTTTGTGTCCTTAATTCCAGACAAATCATCCTCTTTGTTCTCTAACACTGCTATATACTGGGTATCATTTTTTTAAATGTTATTTCGCTAAGGATAATCAGAGGAGATAGGAAGTGTTGATTAAATTTCTATTTCAAAAATGAGGCAAGTTAAAATTATTCAGTCACAGATATATTAGTTTATGTATCCTGATAATTATCAGTAACATTCCTCACTGTCTACTGTGAGGTATCATATTTTACCTTTGTCTTTAAGGAAAGGTAAATCTATAATCATTTTGACTATGGATTATGACTCACACTCAAATGTGCATAGCAACATAACTTTGGAGAAGTTATTGATAGTGAAATAAAGATCAAATAGCATCTCTAACTGCAGCACCATCTGCTATAAACTGGATTGTATGTGTGAGTATGTGTGTGTTTAATTATCTCTATGTTCAGCTTTTGTGTGTATAGAACTTCAAGTTATAATTGTATGTTTGTTGTTTTTAAGTATACATACAGTATGATTATATATATACACACATGATTTATAAGAACAAAAGATAGATATTTGGGTTCAGTCAGTTTACTTTAATGTGGATGCAGCCTTAAATCAAAAAGTGTATTTGGGAAAGAAAGGCAAATTTCATAATTTTTAAATATTTTTACTCCATATTTCTACCAAATAGAAAAATCTTAATTGGATCTCTAGGGGATTAAAAGGGTAGTTACAGTATTTCTTTTCTCTAATGCTTTGGGGAGACAAGATGCAATAATTAAAATATTGGCTTCCCTAGTCACAGCTTTATTTAGCATGTATTCTTGTATTATACAAAGATCTTTGATGTGTTGAAATGTTTGCCAAAGGCAGTGAGAAATGTGCAATGCTATGATCATATTTTTAAAAGAAAAACTGAAAAGAGAACAAGTTGCTTTTTCAATTCATTTTTTGATGTTTACATGTAGCTCCATCAAAAGCTGGATGAGCTCAGAGATCACCTAGAAGGCAATGTGAAAGGATACTCTCTCAGAGTACATGTACGATTTTACTCGGTGATTTTTTTTCCCCTAAACTTCTGCTGACCGGTAATTCCAAATCTGATTGGTTTGTCCTCTCATCTCCATTTTTGTTTACTTTTTTTCTCTTTTCTCCCTCTTTTCTAGCTGCAGCTTCATGCTCATGTTTATGAAATACAGATTAAATTGGCAGAGCAGAGATCCCTTAAGCCACACTAGCTTTGAGGTTAATTTACTAACATTCTGGATTCATTACAAAATAAAAACTTCCTTTGCAAAATCTGTGTTTCTTATACAATTATATAATTTTCTGAGGATCTTTTCATGAGACTTCATTTGGAGCTTTTCTGTTGACTGTCTCTTCTGTCCCCTGTTAGATGTGTCAACAGGATTATAATTTATGGGCTGGATCCAAGTGATAGAGCCTTTATGATTCAATTTCAGTTGTCAAGGAAAATGATCTATGTTAGAGTATAGGTATTCTGGCAAGTAGACTTTTTTCTGAATTAATAGACTTTTCTCAACTCATATTCTTTAGGATTAACTGTAAGATTTTTTTGTTTAAAAATAAAATAGTAAGCATCTTTACCAGGAACACCATCATGTAACATCTTACTTGAGATAAAGGATAATAAGCTTAAGATAACACTTTGAAGGAGAACAATACCTTATAGCCACTCAATACTGTGCATATATTATATAATCAAAGGCAAAAATAGTATTTTGTGACCAGTAGTTCAGACTCAGAATACTTAGCTCTTCTACTGAATATATATTTCTAAGATAAATGGAAGTAAATCTCAAAAATGGCATATGATATAAATATGGCAGAAGAAAAGCTAAATTATTGTTGTACAGTAAAACCTCGATATAACAGATTAATTTAAGAGAGGGAGTGTTCATTATAGCTGAAAGTCCATTATATAATAAAGAAGGTTTTCTAAATGCATGTTAAAAACTTGACAAATTAGTTAGTTTACTTGTTTTTACTTATGTGGACATATTTGTGTAATTAAAATTAAGTATGTATGAAAAGTTTAATTTCACAGAAAACTTTTCTAAATGTATTCTGTAATTTTAATTTTAAACTGAGTAAGTTTAGTAAATGCATGCATTTATCAGTCATAGAAAGTAAACAAATGCACAAAGCTGGGTTGGGGACCCTATTCAGAATATGCCGGATGCTCAAGGCCAGTTAAGAGTGTGAAGGCCCTATTCAGAGCATGCTGGATGTCCAAGAAGGTTCAGCCCTTGGCAGAGAGGCGCGGATCCAACAGTTGGCGTAGTAAGGCAGGATCAAGACCTATGCCCCCAACATATGGTGCAGCAAGCACAGAATAAATGAGGAGCTGAGTTCCCAACAGTTAGTGCGGAAAGCAGGGTTGGAGGAGGAACTTGCTCTGACACTGGGGCATGGCTTAGCACAAGTCCTACCATCAGCAGGCATGCGTTAAAACTGCTGCAGAAAGTCTTGCCACAGGACAACAGAACCAAGTAGCACAAGCGCTGCGGTGTGGGCAAGTGCTAATCATTCTTTGAACATTGTTTATGAGTGTTGGCTCTTGGATTTAAATATGTAGACTATAGTTGTAGGTATGTAATATTTATTTATGTCAGTGAAATTACTACAGTGTTTTTCGATCATATGGCCTATTCACTAAAATTTGTTTTAAAAAAATAGCAGTGAATTAATAACAAAAATAAAAAAATAGTCTGTTAATTTAATTATAAGCAAATCTTGGGTAAAAGCATTTTAAAGTTATCAGTGTTAATATTCACATATGACATGTGGACTAGAAATTTTGTCCATTAAGTTGAGGTCTGCAAAAATCAAGGGTTTACTCTAAATAATTCTGGCTCTATTTAACCCTGACCTCCCATTCCTAAGGCTTTTTAAAAAGTGCCTATGAATCCTAGCCCTGACTTCTCTCAAGATTAGTGCTATACATTTAATTCATATTGCTATGATAGTTTTTGTTATACAGGGTAGAATGAAAAATAATAGTGATATAATAATTCTCAGCTTGTTTTTAATTAGATACCATATATAGTTATGTATATGTCTATATTAAGTTTTGATTACTGAAGTCCAAAATTGTTTTTACTAATATCAATAATTAAATTATAATAGCTAAACAGAGAAGGAAAGTATAGCTGTAATATTTATTTATGTCAGTGAAATTACTACAGTGTTTTTCGATCATATGGCCTATTCACTAAAATTTGTTTTAAAAAAATAGCAGTGAATTAATAACAAAAATAAAAAAATAGTCTGTTAATTTAATTATAAGCAAATCTTGGGTAAAAGCATTTTAAAGTTATCAGTGTTAATATTCACATATGACATGTGGACTAGAAATTTTGTCCATTAAGTTGAGGTCTGCAAAAATCAAGGGTTTACTCTAAATAATTCTGGCTCTATTTAACCCTGACCTCCCATTCCTAAGGCTTTTTAAAAAGTGCCTATGAATCCTAGCCCTGACTTCTCTCAAGATTAGTGCTATACATTTAATTCATATTGCTATGATAGTTTTTGTTATACAGGGTAGAATGAAAAATAATAGTGATATAATAATTCTCAGCTTGTTTTTAATTAGATACCATATATAGTTATGTATATGTCTATATTAAGTTTTGATTACTGAAGTCCAAAATTGTTTTTACTAATATCAATAATTAAATTATAATAGCTAAACAGAGAAGGAAAGTATAGCAAGTGTT